AACAAAGTTCATGTACTCAGACCAGTAATATTTGGGGTCACAAGTTTTTGCCATGGATATTTTGTGGGTCAGAAGATAAAAAGTTTGGGAACCACGGTTATAGAGGGAATCTGATTGGCAGCATCTGGAGGTACCAAAAGCTCAAAATTGCTGTTTGCTGTTAATAGTGAGGAGATTTATGAAAACTTTCTTGTGTGCAACCCACGTACTCAGCTCTACTGCTCATTCCACAAATGCATGTTCCTTACAAAAGTGACACCATTTAAAAGTGAAATTAACAGGCTTTCCAGTGATATAAGATTTATTGCCAAGAAAAATTGTTTCACAATAAAAGCAAGAACATTTTAAGAACAGACACCAAAATGCATATTAACATCCCATACATATAAAAGCATATAAAAATATTGTATAATTAAAACAGGGAATAGAATATGCATCAACAAGCCAACAATTAGCTAAAAGTCTCTTTTATAAAAGAATGTCTTCAGGTGATGTCTCATGAATAACCTATTTATAAAGCTTTAATAAATCCTCTGTAGTGGGGCTCTTATTGTGAAATAGTAACACAACTTGTTCGCCTGTTATTATTAGTTCTGTTTTACTTGGAACATAAAATCAGTTTTACTGCCTCCTCAGACTTCCTTTCCTTTTTTTTTCCTTTTTCCTCTTTTTTTTTTCTTTTCTTCAAACCTGACAAATCACTTTCTTCAGGCCACTGGTCTTCTCTTTTTCGTTTGGCTCAAACCAAGAATGTGCCCAAAAACCATGCTGCGGTCTTTGGCTTTGCTGCGAAGTCCATGACGTAAATCCTAATGTATGCTTATGGAAAAGCAGATGCTAGGATATTAGAAGTAAAACAACTGGGGATAAACATCTGTAACCATTAAACCATAACAGAAGAAAACTAGGTATAAATTGGGGAATACAGGAGATAGATGACTTTTTAAAAATCTTAATGCGTAGAAATGTTTTTGTAAAATGTACTCAGATAATTATTAGTTGATTAACAAATCTCAGAAGTAAAAGAAAATGTTTATATAAACTCAATTAGACCTATATTAGTTTAAGGAAATTAACATTTTAAACCTAATAAACATGCAGTTTGACATTTTTCTTGTAATATAAATAAATTAGTGTTTTTCTCCCTCTGAATCTCTCAGGTTGTAAGATCAAGGCTCTGCGTGCGAAAACAAACACCTACATCAAGACTCCAGTCAGAGGGGAGGACCCAGTGTTTATTGTTACCGGACGAAGGGAGGATGTTGAAATGGCCAAACGTGAAATCGTATCTGCAGCCGAGCATTTCTCCATGATCCGGGCATCCCGCTGCAAAGCCGGAGGTCCTGGAGGAGGAGGCTCCCTACCCGGACCACCTCACCTGCCCGGACAGACCACCATTCAGGTACAGAAACAGGTTTGGATATGTACGGTTGTAAAGAAGGTGGTAAATGTTGAATCTTTACAGAGTAGGGGTGGGCAATACTGGGAATTTTGGTATCGATCCTCTACCAAGTAAATACTGTGGTAGAATCGCTTATTTTGATATCGATTCTGATACTGGGGGGCGGGGCTGTCGGCCGCGAAGATGACAGCTCCTGCTGCAAAGCACGCAGGAGGAAGGGAGAATTGAGGAAATGCATAACTTATTACTAGTCTCATTACTAGCAGCAGAACAGGTTAGAAGACGGTCATTTGATATTATTGTTTTTTTTGTTTTGTTTTGTTTTACATCCTACAGGCTCTGACATGTTAAATAAATTTGAAACTGAGGTTTTGAAAAAATCCATTAAACTTGAAAAAAATCAGTGAGTTTTCTCTATACATCCATATACCTGCAAAATGATGGAAAGTCTGTGTAAATTATGGACACTCCGTACAACTTGACATGTATGAATTTTCCTTGAAGAATTATGCTGTAAGACCATGTATGATCTAAAAAAAAGTTGAATACAGTCACAAGAGTTCTTTAAAAAACGTTTTCATCTCTCCTCCAAGAAAGTTCTTCAGCTTCATCAGTGCCTTGGTGCCTTCACATGTTGACAAACAAGTTTGACTATGATCAAAACTGTGTTGACATGCAAAAGTGGACCATTAGCTTACCGTTAGTGCCCTGATTATCACCTATTGTTGAAAGAGTCACTCCTGCAGTAACACTATTGTAAGAGGGAGACACATTGACAGGGAGGAGACCCCCAGTGCTAAATGGCAGACGGCTTCACGCTTTCTTCATTTCTCTCACCACTGCTGAAGGGAGAGAGAAAAAACAACAAAGCAAAGCATCAATTCCATTACGATGGTATCGATTCGATACCAAATACCATCTTGGTATCTATAGTATCGAGTACTTGAATCGATACGCCCACCCCTACTGCAGAGTAGTACTTGGGTTCTAACCTTGTCCCCTGTCGTTGCTCCAGGTCAGAGTGCCCTACAGAGTCGTGGGTTTGGTTGTCGGACCAAAGGGAGCAACCATCAAGCGCATCCAGCAGCAGACTCATACCTACATCGTGACCCCGAGCCGAGAGAAAGATCCGGTGTTCGAGGTGACCGGGATGCCGGAGAACGTGGACCGAGCGAGAGAGGAGATCGAGACCCACATCACCCTGCGAACTGGGACCTTTGTGGACCTGCAGGGAGACAATGACTTCCACACCAATGGCACGGATGTCAGTCTAGAAGGCCTCAGCTCGTTGAGCGGAGGGCTGGGAGCGTCTCTCTGGTCCAGAGCTACGAGCCACCACTCTGCCCCGCCC